AAAAAAAAAAAAACTTAACAGCATGACACTAACATGCAGATTCTTTTCAGGCTTTGATGTTAAGACTATGCCAGATGATTTAAACAACTGAAAAGTTGTTTGATTGTTTGTTTGTTTGTTTTAAGTTAATTGACATGAGTTCTTTTTGGGTTTTGTTTTGTTTTTACTGCATACAAGTTTGAAAGAAGTTATCCATCTATCTATTTGGGCCTGGTTCTTTGACAAGGTCTTAACTGGCACATAATAACTCCATCCAGTTATGAAGTATATTTTGACGCACACATGTAATGGGTAATTACCAAATCATGATAATTAGTATATCCATCACCTCAAATATTTACTTCTCTATGTCGAGAAACATGCCAAAAATGCTCTGGGCTAGTTTCTGGAATGTGTAACTATAGTCATCTCATTGTGCTGTAGAATAGGGCTTGAGCATTCCTTTTTGTGTGTGCTGGGGACCTGGGCCCAGCTCTTGCTAGGTAGGCCTTCTATAAGGAATTGCACTATAGCTCTTGTTTTCTTTAAAGACAGACGCTCTTTGGGCAGCCAAGCCAGGCTCAAGGTACTCCTATGTCAACCCCCAAAGTTTTGGCATTGCATGTATGCCGCCATGTTATTCTTGGTGATATGTTTTGGATGTAGGTGTTTTACTTTTTCTAGCTTTTTCTCTGCCTTTAGGGTTTTTTTGGCCATTTAGGGCCTTTGGTGATTCCATAAAATTTTGGGATTTTATACAAAGCTATGGAGGATGTGACTGGAAGCTAAATAAGGTGAATCTGTAGATTGCGCTAGACAGGGTATACAGTTTAAATTAGTAATTCTTCCAAATCACGTACATAGGATGTTTTCCTTTTCAGGGATGTGTATGTGCCTTCTTTACTTTCTTTCATCTCCTTGATTAAATTGCTAGGAGATAGATAGATAGATAGATAGATAGATAGATAGATAGATAGATAGATAGAAATATAATGGCTTTCTTAATTTCTCTCAGCTTTATTGGCTAATTTTTGTATGTAGATTTTGTATCATCCACTTTATTGAATTTGTTAATCAAGTATAATTTTTTTAATTTTTACATTTTTCTATAAATAAGGTCTTGCTTTCTGTACACAGAAACAACTTGCCTACCTCCCTTCCAATTTGAATACTCTTAATTTCTTTCCATTGCCTGATAGCTCTGGGCTAGAACTTCTAATCCTGAGTTGACTAAAACTGGTCAGAGTGGAGACTGATTGCCTTCTTAATGACCTTAGAGAAAAAGTATTTCCTACTGAGTCAAGTACAATGTCAACTGTGGGCTTGTCACATTACATGTTTTCCATCACTCTCTGTATTTTTAGATTTTGTTTTCTTATAGCCTTCTTGTGCTGGCTATTCCTAGGTCAACTTGACACAAGCTAGAGTTATCTGAAAGGAGGGAAACTCAATTGAGAAAATGCCATAGGGCATTTTCTTAATTAGTGATAGATGGGAGAGGGTCCAGCCCATTGTGGGTGGTGCCATCCCTGGGCTAGTGGTCCTGGGTTCTATAAAAAGGCAGACTGAGCAACCCATGGGGAGCAAACCAGTAAGCAGCACCCCTCCATGGCTTCTGCATCAGCTCCTGCCTCCAGATTCTTTCCATTTGAGTTCCTGTTCTGACTTCTTTTGATGATGAACAGCTATATGGAATGTAAGCCAAATAAACCCTTTCCTCCCCAACTTGCTTTTTGGTCATGGTGTTCCATCACAGCAATAGTAACCACAACTAAGACACCTTCCTACCTTAAAATCTCTACCTTCCTTCTCATGGGTCTCTCAACTTTTATGATCTATGTATGTGTGTGTGCGCACACAATTTAAACCTAGAGTCTGCATATGAGAGAAACCATTAGTATTTTTATGAGTCTGGCTTATTTTGCTTAACATAAGGATTTCCCATTGCATTCATTTCCTGCAAATATCATGGCTTCCTTTTTCTTCATGGATGAAGAAAATTCTATTATGCTTGTATAACACATTTTCTTTCTTTAATTTGTTGATGAGGATCTTGAATGATTCTGTTTCTTGGCTATTGTGAGTAGTGTAGCAATAAGTATGGATGTTCTAGTTCCTCTGTGATGCAATGCTTAGCATCCTTTGAATATACACCAAGGAGTGGAAAAGCTCAGTCACACAGTCATTCTATTTTTGGAGTTTTTGGAGGAACCTCCACATTAATGTCCATCATGCCTGTAATCATTTACATTACCACCTACAGTGTATAAGTGTTCCTCTTTCCCCACATCATCAGCACCAGCAGCATTTGTTAAAATATGTTTTATTGGTATTTGACATTCTGACTAGGGCAAGATGGAATCTCCCCTCACTCCCAGAAACCATAATATACAAGCAAAAGACCAGAGAAGTTTTTTTTTAAAAAAAAAAAAAACCCTCCCAAAATACCACTGAGTTCATTTTGAGTTGGCTGTCTACTGCTGGACATGGGCATTCTCTAGCGTGGTGTGTCTACCCAGTGAGACTCCACTGGAGACATTTTTTTTCCTTTGTGAAGAGTTGTCCCTTGGACATAGCATCTTATCAGGGATGGGAGATCATGTTCACTTCTCCTCCTCTCAGCACTGGGCCCCCATCACCTGTGCAGGCCCTGTGCATGCTGCCACAGTCTCTGTGGGTTCATATGTGTGTCAGTCCTGTTGCGTCTGGAAGACATGGTTTCCTCGGAGTTCTCCATCCCCACTGGCTCTTTCCACATCCTTTATGGCAAAGTTTCTTGAGCCCTAAGGGGAGGGATTTGATGGAGATACCCCATGTAGGATTGGGTCTTCTAAGGTCTCTCACTCTACACATTGTCCAGTTGTGGGTCTCTGTATTTGTTCTCATCTATTGCAGGAGGAAGCTTCTTTGATGGTGGCTGAGCAAGGCACTGATATATGTGTATAGCAGTATGTCATGGGAATCATTTTATTGCTATATTTCTTTAGCGGAATAATAGTATTTGGCTTTCCCCTGAGTGCCCTGGGCTTTCTAATCTCAGGTTCTTGGCCACCCAAGTGGCATTGGATATGGGTTCCATCTCATGGTGTAGGCCTAAAGTCCAATCAGATATTCGTTGGTTACTCCCAAAACTTTTGTGTCACTATTACACACGTGTATCATATAGGCAGGTCACTATTGAGGATGGAAGGTTTATAGAGGGTTAGTGTTTACCTTTCTCCCCTGGAAACATGCAGAATACCTTCCAGTACCACAAACACTGTTCAGTGGAGGTGAAGACTCTGGTTAGGTACCTGCTCAACCTCTCCATGTTCCATCCATGAGATATGTATGTTAAATATGTCTTCAGCAATAGGTCCTTACCAGCAAGATGGAATATTAAGAGATTATAATTTTATTTAAGTGATGGCTGACGATATTGCACACTTTTTCAAATATTTAGTGGCCATTTGTATTTCTTCTTTTGAAAATTATTCAGTTCATTCCCCTACTTACTACTTGGATGGTTTATTTTCTTGGTGTTTATTACAGTTATTTATGAATTCTATACAACAATTCCCTGTCTGATGTATAGCTAGCAAATATTTCTTCCCATCCTGAAGACCACCTCTTCACTCTGAACAGTTTGCTGTGCAGAAGCATTTTAAGTAAGCTCATACATCAGTCTTTGGGAGTACCTTCTGTGTGCTGGATTCCTTTCCAGAAAATCTTTCCCCAGCCCTTTAACTGGTGTGTTCTGCTGTTGTTTTATGGTGTGTGTGTGTGTGTGTGTGTGTGTGTGTGTGTGTGTGCACATGTGGTGTGCATGTGTGTGATACATGCACAGGTTTGGAGGGTTCTAAGCACCCATGTCCATGTGGGCAGAGGCCAGAGAAGGATGTACAATGCCCTGCTGTATCACTCCACCCTCTTGTCCTCTACTCTGAACTGTTCTGTTGTCCCCCTCTGTGTGGACATTTCTGCTAAAACACAGCTGGCTGCTTTCCTGGGTCTGAACTTCACTTAGAAAAAAGTTTATTATGAACATAAAGTCCAAGTTTCATTAACAAGGCAGATGGTCATTAGTGAACACGAACCCGGGCAAATCTCTTCAGTTCCCTGGCTTTTTGTTTTTTGTTTTTTCCTTATTCATAAAGTGTAATGATAACATCCACCTCAGGAGATGACATAAAGCACCGTATTTGAAAGCACTCAGCTCTGAAGTGTAAGCTCAATGGAGAAACAGCTGCCTAGCATCCAGGAGGTCCTAGGTTCAGTTCCCAGTACGGAAAAAAAAGCTAGTGTTTTAAGAACAAAATTGTTGGTAGTTATCATAGTTAGATATTCAAAATATAAGGAATTAAAGATGGGGGGATGTAGCTGGTGTGCACAATTCCCAAGGTTTGATTCTTACCGTACTATAAACTGGGTGTGGTGGCACGTACCTGGAATCTGAGCACTCAAGAGTTGGAGTCAGGAGAATCAAAATAGCTCAAAGTCAGCCTAGGATCCATGAGACTCTGTTTCTAAAAACAAAAACAAACAAACAAAAACAAACAACCTGAACAATAAAGCACAAATTACCATACAGATGGAAAACCACAATTTCTTTATTTTTATTTTTTTATTAAATTTTTTTTCATTTATGTTACATACCGACCAGTTTCCCCTCCCTCCTCTCTTCCTGTTCCCTCCCCATCTCCCTTCTACCTACCTCCCCACCCCATCCACTCCTCCTCTGTCTCCATTCAGAAAGAGGCAGGCCTCCCATGGTAGTCAACACAGCAGGGCATATCAAGTTGAGGCAGGACCAAGCTCTGCCCCCTGCATCAAAATTGGGCAAGGCAACCCAGCTTGGGGATTGGGTTCCCAAAAGCCAGCTCAAGCGCCAGGGACAGGTCCTGATCCCACTGGTAGGAGCCCCACAAACAGACTAAGGTACAAACTGTCACCCACATGCAGAGGGCCTAGGTTGATCCCATGCACGCTTCCAAGCCAAAAGACACAATTTCTAAGAGGTCTCCTTTTCTCCTGCTGTTTAGGCAGAATATGCAAATCCCTTGAATTTTCTACAGTCTCAACCTAGAAACCGGTGTAAAAGATCATCAGAGTCTTCAATCCTGTATCCTACAGGCGCCAATCAATCCAATGCTAGCGAGGAGAAAGTCTCTACTCCATTTACAGGTACACAAATTGCATGTTTACATCAAAAGACCTAAAATGTAACAGCATAGAATCTACATTATAAACATTAAGAAAATATATAACCAAAGAATAGCACTGTTTAGTTGGATAGACCTAATATGCCATTACTTTGTAACATCTATTACTATTAGAAAAAATGGTAAAGTCTGAATTCCTTAGTCCTCTGCTTATTTCAAGTCCATTTACAAATCATTTTATGAACTCCAGTCTGGCACTACTGGCATCCAGCCAGGACAGAACCAAAGACATCTGCTCTGGCCAAGAACAAGATTTGAAGCTATTTGCTTTTAGGGTGCTAAAATATGCCTAGGGTGCCCAATATGCCTAGCTTGTTTCCATCTCCTGTCTTCATCACTGCTTAGAAATCAAAGTTCACAAAAGACTGGTCAGGTAAAATTTTCCTTAGGGAGAATAAAGGATAGAATTAAGATAGTAAACACTTAAACATTACACTTACATTTTATGTTGTGTGTATGCATATATGTGTGTACATGCATCCTACTTTGCATGTGTAAAAGCTGAAGGACAACATGAGAGACTTGATTTTCTTCTTTTATCCACCGAGTTCTGGGTATCAAACTTGGGTCACCAGACTTGGCAGCAAGTGCGTTTACCTTTGGAGCCATCTCACACACCCCAAACTTCTTATCTGTCATTACACAAACCACAATAGAGTCCTTGTTTCTTTGTCTTAAATGGCTCAGCAGAATCCCAGTGGCACAGCACAGCCTCAAAACAAAGCCTACCATGCTGTGGATATCGCTCTGTATAAATAAAATGCTGATTGGCCAGTAGACAGGCAGGAAGTATAGGTGGGATAAGCAGAGAAGAGAATTCTGGGAAGTGGAAGGCTGAGGCAGGGAGACGTGGCTAGCTGCTGCCATGAGTACCAACATGTAAGATACTGGTAAGCCACGAGCCATGTGGCAAGGTATAGATTTATAGAAATGGGTTAATTTAAGATAGAAGAACTAGATAACAAGAAGCCTGCCATGGCCATACAGTTTGTAAGCAATATAAGTCTCTGTGTGTTTACTTGGTTGGGTCTGAGTGACTGCAGGACTGGTGGGTGAGAGAGATTTGTCCTGACCATGGGCCAGGCAGGACCAGGAAAACTCTAGCTACACTACCATACAAGGGACGTATAGCCTAAATGCCCAACAGAAGCAAAACAGCTCAGAAAAACTAAGCCAGTCACCAAAATAGCTCAGAGAGAACTTCTAGAGCTCAATGGAGACTCAAAAGTGAAGATGAAGTCCAAGGTACAAAGATCAGGGAGAAACTTATTAAAGGTCAAACTTCCTCAAGTCTAAAACAAAGTCCAGTTGTTCAGATGCTGGTTGAAGGTGGAATGTAAGGAAAAAAAGCTCCCTGAAGAAAATCATCCTAGCAGCTACATGGGATCCTTTGATCTCTCCTACCGTCTGTGATTAACTTGCCATCGAACATGCAGAAAAAGAAGATACATCCAGTGTGGCCACATTGGGAAGAAGAGCAAATAAAGAGGCCTCGTGATTCCTCCCCCACTTCCCAAAAGTCCATCTTTGGAGTCTTGATATAAGGCTTAGTGTTAAACGAATATGTTGTCACGATTCTCCAAACTATATGTTTAAGATGTGAACATTTGGCCAGGCGGTGGTGGCGCACGCCTTTAATCCCAGCACTCGGGAGGCAGAGCCAGGAGGATCTCTGTGAGTTCGAGGCCAGCCCGGACTACCAAGTGAGTTCCAGGAAAGGCGCAAAGCTACACAGAGAAACCCTGTCTCGAAAAACCAAAAAAAAAAAAAAAAAAAAGATGTGAACATTTTATTGCATATACATTATACCTCAATAAAGCAAAGGCAGCTACAAGGAAACAGAGTCTTCCCGACACAGCAGGGCAGCTGCACACAGGAACTCACAGTGGTTCTGACAGCATGCACAAGACCTGTGCTAGCCCAAGCCAGACCATATGCCAGTGTGGAGAGGGGGATTGGGCCTGAAACTTCACCCCTCACCATGTAGCTATTGGCAATGGATAGCTTCTGGGAAAGGGAGAACCAGTTTTCTCGAAGAGTGTAGGCCCTGGGAAGCTGACTGAAGTCCAGTGAATACCACACATCCAAGAATATTTGGGAAGTACTACTTACTCTTCATGGGTTCCAAAAATGCGGGATGAGAGTGGGGGAGTTGGATCTGGGAAGTGCTGGAGGAGGGGTGAGTAGGACCAAAACATGTTTTATGAAAATTTCAAAGATCTAATACAAAAATATTTTTTAATCGAAGTTAAGGGACTGGAGAGATGGCTCAGTAGTTAATACCACTGGCTACTCTTCCAAAGGACCCAGGTTCAATTCTCAGCATCCATATGGCAGCTCACCACCATCTGTCAGTCCCAGGGATTCCATGCCCTCTTCTGGCCTTTGCAGGCACCACTCATGAACACAGTGCATGGACATACATGTAGGCAAAATACCCATAAACAAGAAATAAATATTTTTTAAAGTTAAAAAGGGAACAAAAAACCAACACTACATCAGTCTAAGATACTGAAAATGTAATTGTCAGAATAACTGAGAAAAGAACTTGTACCAATACAACAAACACTAATAAAATTTAACTTAAAATTAAAAATATTAGTTTTTGGAGTGTGTGGTGGGAATATGTGTGTGTTTGCATGGTGTGCTGTGTGCGTGTGTGTGTATGTGTGTGTGTATATGTGTGTGTGTGTGTGTGTGTGTGTGTGTGTATGTGTGTGTGTATGTGTGTACATTTGGTAGCCTGAAGCTGACGTCAGGAGCATTCCTCAATCACTGTTCACCTCATTCATTGAGATAGGGCCTTTCAGTAAAATGTGGAGCTTACCAATATGGCTGGTTTAGCTAGCAAGCTCACTCTGGGGATCCATCTCTACCTTCCCAGTGGTGGAATTACAAACAGGATTTCTGAACTATTGTCCTCAAACTTGCATGGCAAGTGCTGTATTCACTGAACCATTTATTCATCACCTCCAGATGCTAGTTTAAAAAGTTAATAATAATTGGACACACAGCATAACTTCTCCAAGTGTGTGCCCACCACCAGCTCCTGCACACAGCCTTCTGTGTCCACATTGACTTTCTTCAGCTGACAATGGGGTTCGTGAAGTGTTGTGCTGTATTGTTAACTCTTTTGATCCCTGTTTTTCCAAAATGTCTCTATTTTGCTGTCACTCTTGAGTGAGTACTCTACAAATAATACTAATTGTGATGTTTGCTAGGATGTGGAAAAGAGTTCAGATCAATATATGAAAATGAAACTACTTGATGACAAGAAAAAAGCAGAATGTCTCACTAACAGTATGTGTGGTGGTTTGAATGAGAATAGTCCTCATAGGCTCATATACTTGCATGCTTAGTCTCAGTTGACGAACTATTTGGGAAGGATTAGGAGGTGTGGCCTTATTGCAGGAGGTCTGTCACTGGGGATGGGCTTTGAGGTTTCAAAAGCCCATGCCAGGCATACTGTATGCCTGCCTCTCTGTCTCTCTCTGTCTTTCTGCTTGCTGCTTCTAGATCAGGATGTAGGGCTCTCAGCTACTATTCCAGAGCCATGCCTGTACACTTCCTGCTTTCATTATGAACTAGCCCTCTGAAACAATACGCAAGCCCCCAGTTACATGCTTTCTTTTATAAGAGTTGCCTTGGTCATGGTGTCTTTTCACAGCAATGGAACAAACAGTAGGATGGAAGTTGGTACCAGGGAGTGCCATATTGGTGTGCAAGCCTGAACATACTACTCTTCTTTGAAGGAATGTGGAAAACTTTGGGACTTTGGACTAGAAAAGTGGTTGAATTCTTGAAGCAGGGCACAATGGGCCATCCTAGCAGGAGCAAGAGAGAAAATAATGCTGAGAGATACACGAACTATGGCAGTCCAGCTCAAGAGGTTTCCACGGGGAATAATATTAGAGATCATTCTTGTGACATTTTGACAAAGAATGTGGCTGGTTTTTGCCCTTGTCCAAAAAATTTCTGGATGCTAAATTGAAGTGTTTTGGATGAATGACATCAACAGAAGATTTTAAGAGAGCAAATATATTGATTGTGTTGTGTGGTTATTAGTGATCACTCATGTAGATCTACAACAAAAAGGAGCAAGCTGGGCAAAAAGAAATAAAAATATACAGTCTGAGAGGAAAAAAAAAACCATAGGAAATGTAATGCTGGAGCCGGGTCCTGTGCTCAAGATTAAAAGTTTAAAGAAAGGCCTGATTCAGAATAGAATAAAGGGAGTGGTACCTAATAGGTTTTCTGTAATGCGATAATAGGTTTCTCTGCTGACGCAGTAAGCCAGATGAAGCCAAAAAACAAAAAAAAACAGGTATATTTGAGTGATGCAACTCCTACGTGAGCCCTCTGGCCCCAGAGATTGGGCCCAGAGAAATCACAGAGCTGAACTAAAGCAGGGAGCATATATATTCTGTAGGCGAGGGGATGATGACGTGTCCTCCACAAGCTGGGTTTGTGCCCAAGTGTGATCAAAAACTGACTGCTTTAGGTGGGGTCTTGGGCTACTGGCAACTTCATGGGAGGAGCTGCCACAGCCTTCAAGAATGCAGAACTGGGCTTTTTGGAACCTTTTCTTTGTTGGAGACTCTCTGAGAGGGCGGGGTTTGGAGAGGGAGGAATGGGGCTTTCTGGATCAAGCAGGAGTGAGCTGGAGGTTCCAGCCTACAGAATTCTCAGGGCAAAACACCACCTGCGGTTGTGAAAAGAATAAACTGGAAGGATTTCCTTGGCCTAGAAATTATCAATAAGTCCAAGTTTATGCAAATATAAATCCTGGGGGCTGGGTGGGGTGTCCCAGGTTCTAGCCCCAGCAAGCAAAAGAACTTGGCAGCTTCAACCAAGTGGTTCTGGCTTGAACGTCAAGGGGATAGGTATTGGTGAAATTATTAAGGCCCCTCCACAAAGTTAAAAGGAAAGTTTATTAGTGGCACAACTTACAAATGAAGGGATAGGTAGGTCGCAGGGTCTGGGGAAGGTGTATCGCAGTCCAGCGGTGTTCTCTGGAGCTCTGCTCTGTCCACCTCCACCGTCCAGGGTCCAGGAACAGAGAGAGAGAGAGCCGCGCATCCCGTTCTCGGGTCTTCAGGGCCCTCCCTTGGCCCTGCCTTGTAGGCGTGATAGTTACCGAAGCCTCAATGGGGGTTGGAACTTCCAGACCAAAGCTGGAATGGCTACCCACTACAATAGGGGCTATGGAATCTTCCACCACTGTTAAAGAAAGCCACCAAGGCTAGGAGTTTAACAGAGCAGTTCCTGATGGAAGCCCAGAAAGGCCATTGCATGGAGTTGTGTAGGTGAAGCCTGGATTGCACGGAGACCCTGAGATGTTGGAGATGCCAGAGCCATGGGATGCCTGCTTAGGAAAGCTGCAGACTGGATGTGGAACCAGCCCAAAAGAAAGAAGTATGGTGCAGTCAACAAAGCTGAAAGGAGTTGGAGATCAGGCATGGAGATGCAGAATTTGGAGTTTGTCCTGCTGAGTTTCAATCTTGCTGGCCCAGTATTTCTTCACTATGCTCCCTTTCCTCCTTTTTGGAATGGTAACATATATTCCATATCATTATATGTTGGAAGTATGTGAGCTGCTTTTTAATTTTAATTTTACAAGGGGTTACAGTTAAGAGACTGCCTTGAGTTTCAGAAGAGACTTTGGATTTTTAAGCATTCTTGAGGCTGGAAGATTATGGGGACTTTTAAATTGGACTGAATGCATTTTGCATTATGATATAGCTACAAGCCTATGGAGGCCAGGGAGTGGAATATGATGGTTTGATTGGGAATGGCACCAATGAGCTAATATATTTGCATGCTTAGTGTTATTCATTAAGCGGTGCTGTTTCCATTGGAGAAAAGCCACGAGGTACAACAAAACCCACTATATGAGTTTAATTAAGGGGAGGGAATAAGAAAGATGTGCATAGGCCTATGGAATGACTATGCAGGAAGAGGGGAGGAATAAGTGGAACCCACTTTTATAGGTCCCCCCTCCCCAGCAATGCACATATAGGCTTACATAGCTATGCCACACATGCGCATAGATTATGTGATCACACAGTGCACAGATTACATAGGATGCAAGACCCTGGGATGACTAAGCATCTTGCCAGCGCATACATGCGTGGCCATGTAGTTTGGGGAGTGGCTAGGAATTCTAACACTTAGTATTATGCCCAGATCACGGGGACCCCCAAAAGACTACCACAGGGACTGAATCCCATATGTAAAAGCAAAGAGCCTTTATTTCAAGCTTGGAGCTTGGATTCTCTGTCCATTGCAGAGGTGATGGCAGAGAGCCCCAAGCCCGGGCAGGGTGGGGTTTTTATTACAGCAGAGGTTGGGGTGAGGGGATTTCCAGGGTTCAGGACCCTGATTGGCTGACATTTGTCTAGGGGTATAGGGAATGTTTGGAATGTCAGGTATTTACCCTTCGATGCAGGCCTTCCTTAGGTGAGGTCAGCTCATAGCTTCTCCTGGATCCAGGTGTTGCCTGCCAGTAAGTCTGTCACAGAAGCTGTTTGGGCCTCTAAGCCTGCTGTGGCAGTTGTGTGGTCAAGTTGTTTTGTCCCCCCAACCCCCACCCTTAGTCCCCAGTTGATGAACTGTTTGGAAAAGATTAGGAGGTATGTCTTTGTTGGTGTTGGTGTATCACTGGGGATGGGGTTGAGGATTCAAAAGCCTACACCAGTACCAGTGTCTCTGCCTGCTGCCTTCCAAACAGGAAGTAAAGCTCTCAGGCACAGCTCCAACACTATGCCTGTCTGCTTCCTGCCTTCATCATGGACTAACCCTCTGAAACTGTAAGCAAGCCCCTCACCTCTGCCCAATTACATGCTTTCTTCTATGAGTTGTCTTGGTCATGGTGTCTCTTCACAGCAATAGAACAATTACTAAGACAGTATGTGTCTGGAATCATTTAAAAAGGCAATAAAATTCTGGAGTGGCCACTGGCTATACCTGGAAGAATTCAGCCTTGAAGATTTCCTCATATCAGGTGGTAAGATCAATTTGCTATCTGCTAAGTGACTTCTCTCCATACCAACATGTTTGAATATCCCAGGCTTCCTATTGGTCATGTGACTTGATATAGTAGAAATATTTAAAATATGCTTTTCTGGGATGGAAATACAGCTCACTTAGTAAAGCCTTTGCCTAGCTTGCATGAAGATCTGGGTTCCCCTGCACTGCATAAAACCAGGTATGCTAGTACATGTCTAAAATTCTAGCATATGGGCAGTAGAGGAAAAACAATCAGAAGTTCAAAGCCATCCCCAACTACATAGGGAATTCAGATCTAGCCTTGGCCACATGAGACCTTGTATCAAAAAACATTAAAAAAAAAAAAATCTTTTCTCCATAAAAACTCTCTAAGGTTACTTCTATGTTTCCACTGTCGTAGCTGAACACTGAAGTCTTTATCTTTTCTCCTATCTTATTCACTCAAGAAGCATGGATGGCAAAACGGCTTAGTGGTGAGAGCACTTACTGATTTGATTTTGATTGCCAGCCCCGACATCAGACAACTCACAAATACCTGTAACTTCAGCTCCAAGGGGGATCTGACACTTCTGGCCTCCATGGTCACTCACATGACATACACCACAACAAGCTACTACAGATTTTCCACTACACCAGATGTTTTCTGTGTTATTTTAAACTATAAGGTATTTCATACAGACATTTTCCAGGTAGCATAAACTTAACGTATCTTTTATGAAAATCTGTGATTTCAGGTCAAAATGAAAAGAGAGCTAAGAAGTCCATGTACTCTACAGACCACTCAGCGGATTCTATGGAAAAAGGGTAATTTATTTTTAAAATGTTAACATTTAACACTGTTCAAGGATGGCTCTAGCAGAATAAGTTCTGCCTTGTGTAATACGGAAAAATGGTCTTTTTCCTGGCTCATTGCTAACATCTACTCCTCCATCAGAGGAGAAGTCCCAGGCCAGACAGCTAATGGGCAGTCCATCTGGACCTGAGCACAGTCAAGTGAAGACAGAGAATATAGCCATGTTTTTGCAGTAGGCACAGACAGAGAGGTGAAAAAGTGTTTTTATTTTTTTTTATAGCATCTAGATTATTCTCATCAGCATCTCTGCATAATGGAGCAAAAATCCTACTTACAACTTTGGAGCAATGATGGATGGGCTCTTTGGGCTTACCTTGCCCTTCTGTTCTTACAAGACAGTATCTGTGGAGTATGCATGAGTGAGGACCCTGATGAACTTTGGGAAAGGGAAATCAAGGTACCGGACCAGGGTCAGAGCCAGATCTCTCCTGCTGCTGATTATATGTGGCTTATGAGCTCATGGTCAATTCTCCACGAAGTTGGTCAGGGTCCACTCTGAGGACTCACAGAGAGGACAGGTTTTCTGAGGCTCTATCATCTCCTCCATCCTTTCCCTCTAGGAATGAGGCTATCTACCTCCTCTTTGCCAAATTTGCACTACAGGTTACCTCCAAAGCCTACAATGACAAGCCCACCTCCTGTGTAAATCAAAGGAATCCGGAGACGAAAACTCTTCCACTCTTTGTGCCTGTGCACACTGTTCACCCTCTTAACCAAACTGTTAAAAAAGCCCCAGAAAAGGCTGTGTCAGATGTCTCTCTTCCCATAGTGCTCCACTCAGCCTTCACAGCAGGCTCCCCACTCAAAGTCTACAGGTGCCCAGGCAACTGTTTGGCTTCCTCCCAGTGCTTCTCCCACAAACCAGGCAGGGAGGGATGGCCTTATCAAGTTGATTAATGTCTACTGGATCAGTGGGGATATTGGCAGTAATTTCTAGAGAGAGAGAGAGAAAGAGCTGATTAGCTGAAATTGCCCCTATAATCTGATCCCTAAACTATGTTCATTTTCAGAAGAAAGGATCATCCACTGGTAAAGGATTCTGTTACAAAAGAAAATGAGCCAACCAGAGATAACCAAGCAAGAACACTTTGTCCAGTAAAACAGAGCACCTTACTCCCCTTGATCTTTGAGGATGTACTGGATAATCCTACACTCAAGATAATTGACCTTGGTCCAACAGAGAGAGTGCTTTATTCTATGGTAATATCTGCTACTGTTCTGTAAAAATGAACACCACAGGCCTCTGGGAAGGCTAAAAAGACAATGTGACTTCAATGTGACCTGAAGTCTATCTTGTTAGGAATCATCCAAATACAGCCCAGTCTGCTTTGTTGATTTCTACTACAGTCACAGGTCATAATTAACAACTTTGATGCTGGAGAGAAGGGACACTTTCTAAGACCTCTATAGCTTCTGCAGTCCTAAATAGACTAGTTCTCCCCAGCCCCCAGTCCCTAGCTTTTCATGGCAACTCCTTCTAAACTGAAGATGCATATAGGTGATCTGATTGGCAGAGTCCCATTCCCTAATTCCAGGAAGGCTGGTGAAAATAGTTCCTATATCTGACAATGCATGGGCTTATAGCAGTGGTTCTCAACCTGTGGGTTGTGACTCCTTTGGGGTCGCATATCAGATATCCTGCATATCAGATATTTACATTACAATTCATAACAGTAGCAAAATTACAGTTATAAAGTAGTAACAAAATAGTTTTATGGTCAGGGGTCACTACAAAATGAGGGACTATAGTAAAGGGTTGCAGCATTTGGAAGGTTGAGAACCACTGGCTTATAGTATGGGAATTACCTACAGTGTTGGATAAACCAAAACTAATGCAAAGGCCACTATTGTGGCTAAGTTGGTAATATGTTTATCACCAAAGGATAGTAAAACTGGTTCTCTGGTCATCTTTTTGGGAATCTCAGCCATTGGGATATATTTCATGCTAAGAACATTTGTATACCATCAATCTAATTTCTGATTTCGTCCTGGGAAAGACCACCCCTGGCTTGCTGTCCAGGGCTCAGTCAGCCTCACTGCCCTTGGCTCCTGCTCTGCTTCTGTCTTAATTTATTCTACCTAGAGACCTCCCAGGTCACTGTAGCTAGTACAAGACAGTGACTTGCTCAATGTCTAGGGGACCTCAAGCTGAGGAACCAGCTGTGGCTCTACGCATTCAGCTGAATGGACCTCTAGGCCCATGACAGAGCAAATGTCAGAGTTTAATATGGAAGAGAGAGGCTCTGCCTCAGTTGAGGTCCCCTTCCAGGCCACCTCCCAGTCCAGACAGCCTGTAATCGTCCCTAACCAATCCTTTGTGCCAGCTTCCACCACCACCGTTCTTTCTCTCTGCCTATCTCTGGCCCCTCCCTGGCTTCTTTCTTGTCCTAAGTCGTCTTCATCTAAGAAATCAGTGAGCATGGCTCCCTTTCCCAGTGGCCAGGTAAAGTGGCAGAATGCCCATCTCAAGTATGGCTGCTGATGTGGTTCAAACGTCTCTGTTGCCCCAGATCCATAAGCTGGGGCTTAAGATCTAGTGTAATAGTCACAAGAGGAGAGACTTTTATGAGGGGACTGTGCCAGCTCTCAGGAATGGGTCAGTACTCTTACAAAGGACTCCAGGAAACTGACTGGGCTGTTTTTGTTTATATCTTCTCCTGTACAAGGACAGTGAGACAGTGTTAGCTCTCCAGGACAGAGAAGACACCACATCAATTCCATCTTCGAGTCTGGACTCTCTGGCCTTCAAAGCTGTGAGAAATAAATCTCTATTATTTATTTTTTTAATGTAGAAATTATTGACTTAAGATTTGCAAAGCACATACTGGTAATATGCATATTTTACTAGTTTCCATGGAAATAGTTTTTTTCCTAGAGAAAGGATTAGGGATTGTGAAAATTAATTATGCCAATGTGGGGGTAGTAATTAAAAAAAACTTTTATAGATTTTGCTATTACTAAAATAAAGCATGTTCTATTTTTATATCTATGTATTACTTTGGCTACTTTATTCAAATATATATTAAACACCTTTACCAAGTATTCTAGTAAGTCCTAAGGTACAATTGTAAACATCCCAATAATAGACGTAATTCAAATTTAAAATTCGAATAGCCATATATGGTCATTTGGGCTTATATTCACTTATGTCTTTATATCTTTGACTTAATCCATTTTAGGGGGTATGTTCCTTTTCTTTCTAGAGCACAGACTTTTAAGAAACACCCACACAGTGTTCTTTCTTACTAACTCTCTTCTCTCAATTTACAATGCCCCAAAATTTTAAGTACTTACTTCTGCATACCTCACCTTATTTCAGAAAGGATTTAAGAAGGCCAAGGCTTCAAATTTTGAGAAGGCAGTGTGTCATAGAAAAGCACCTGTTTTTATGTACTTGAATGTTATTTTTGTTGATATCATGTACCTCTCTATATAGTCATTTAAGATATTTTACAAATTTATTTTCATGCTTAAAATACATATATAGCTTTGCCTCAATAGACTTATGACTCGGTGTTTTTGTTTGTTTGTTTGCTATACAGGAAGAAAGCCACACAAATCCAATAATTTTCTATGATGCAGCCTATATAGAAATGTTGATCATGATAAAAAGGTTCACTCCCTATGTAATCATATATACAAGGAAGAATATTGTTCTAGAAAAAAACTGTGACACGGCCAAAGCCTTATTTAATGATGAGCCCAGTACTGTTTCTGAACCTCAAAGAACTAAGCCTGTATCACAGCACAAAGACTTGTCCTTCTCTACTGAACAGGTGCAAAAGAGTATAAAGGAGAGACGAAAGCGGAAACATGATAGTCTGGCTTCTGAAAAAAGACCTCCGAACACACTTTGTAATTTATCCCGAACTTTTTCTAGCTTAACCAAAAGATTTGCAGGTTACTTTGATAAAGATGCTACTCAAAAAAAGAGTGCTAAGACAGATGGATTTGAAAGAATATTTACTAAAGCAAAACCACCACCCAAACGCAAATTCACTACTTTACCTCTTAAGTATGACTCAAAGCCTCTGAAAAATATACTTGAAATACGTAAACTAAACAACATAACCCCACTAGATAACCTGCTAACCTGGAAAGTAAATGACTTATAAAGAATCAGTTACGCAGCAAGACTTAAAAACAAGAAGAACCAAGTTCCAAGATCATAGAAGAAATTCTTGACTGATTACTCATGTACTGTTGGATGAAGTATACAATCAGCAGTGGTCTGTTCAAGATCAGTAAACATTGTTAGCTAACATAAGGATGGAATTAGGGAATTATCAACAAGAGAGATTAATTTGTAACAGTTTTGGTTGTCAGCCTAGCTTTTAGTGGTTGAGCTATCTCTCTAGCCCATTCATGGCTTATCTCAATTATACATATTAGACATCTCTGTTGGCTACAGGACATTCTCATTCAGTACCAACTATGGCATAGATTGATGAGAAAGCTGCTGTCAGAAGCCAAAAACCATCAACAAACAAAAGATTGAATGTCAAGACAGATGTACCATTAATTTACTGACTGTGCAGTCAATAGTAGATCAGTGTTTTAGAGACTCATGGGGAAACAGTGCCATGTAAGCAATGCATGTGATTAAAAAGGCTTCATAAAACCTGTCAGAACTATTTGGAACTTCATTACTGAGTTGTGGAATAACTTAAATGAGTAAGGTCCATAAATGAGTTAATTGTGGTAGTAGATTCTATCAACTGTTGAGTATTCTAAAATACATTGTTTCATATTACTCTTTTATGTTGACTCAAATAGTATAAAGACAGAACTCTTCTTGAATTCAAATTACTCCCAAGTTCATTTGGAATACCTTTCCTTTGGGTCCCACATATTTTTTTCACTTAAATACAGTCTTTGAAGGCAAGTGGCTAGGCTTTTAGCCTACAACACATTTCTAGAATGCACAAAACCCTTGGTTTAATTCTCATCTTGAAAAAAAAAAAGCTGGTAGTGATAAATTCCAAGGTTAACCCACAAAAGACTGTTTAACTTATAATTTTATCACAAAGAATTTAATGTGAAAATAAGTAATGATTTATTATTTTCAATAATTAAAAGGAAAGAGTAGGTAAGAGAAGGGTCTTCCAGGGTTGACTGGAACTTGAGGACAAGCAGGTTGAATCAGAAGCATCCAATTAAGAGATGCTGGAGGCCAGTGGTTCAGCTGCAGACTAGGCAGGGCAGGAACCTCGGGACCACCTGTGGAGGTGGCTCTACTACAGCATCCAAGAAGACACCTTTCTCACACCCCAAACCCCCCGGTCTCCTCTCACTGTCTCCATTATGCCCATTTTCTTTGTTTTCCAGTTTGCTATAAAGCAGAATACTTTCCCCCCCAACTCCCACGCTAGGTCAGAAGAGAAAGCAGAGTCTCTGGAAGGACCAACAAGAAAATCAAGAAATGCGGCTGGGCGGTGGCGGTGCATGCCTTTAATCCCAGCACTAGGGAGGCAGAGCCAGGGGGATCTCTGTGAGTTCGAGGCCAGTCTGGTCTACAAGAGTGAGATCCAGGACAGGCTCCAAAACTATACAGAGAAACCCTGTCTTGAAAAAAACAGGAAAAAAAAAAAGAAAAAAGGAAAAGAAAATCAAGAAATGGAGCATATAACCAATAAGAGCACAAGGGACAGTGATACTATTCCCATACTCAGCATAGGAAAAAGAAGTGTGGGCCTTAGGGCAGATAGGAATGACCGTGTGAAAGTACCTAAGTCTCAGTTCACTGTATTCCCACTGAAGGTGGGGTTTAAGACAAGATTATTTCCAGATTAACTAAAGCAATGCCTAGTATTTTGAGCATTGTAGCATTCAATAAAATTCTCTTTCTGCCCCACTTCCCCTTAAGCTTGCTCATGTTATAACTTTTTTTTTTCTAAGTTAAATGCTAAACCTAACTATAGTATTCAGACTTTAGGCTAAAGCACTGGGTGGGGGGTAGGGAGGGAGTAGCTAGTTCTTTTTGGTAGTTCCTATGGGTGTTTGTGGCTTTATCCTGTAGGAAGAGAGTAAACACTGGCTATGTAACTCAGTCCTAGAGTTCTTATCTAGCATGAATGAGGTCCAGGTTCACTATCAGTACTAGGGGTCGGGGGAAGCCTGGCATCAGTTAAAAACCATATCAGTTTTCTGTTGCTGGGAGAAAATACCATGACCACCTTACTTAAATTTCTAACGCTGTGATAAACACATGTCCAAAAGCAACTAAGGGAACAACGGGTGGATTTCAACTTATAGTTGTAGTCCACCATGAAGGATGTCAAGGCAGGAACTCAAGCAGGAACCTGGAGACAGGAACTGAAGCAGAGACCATGGAGGACCACAGCTTGTTCCTAATGGCTTGTTCAGTCTTCTTTACACAACCCAGGACCATCTGCCAAGGAATTCACCATGGGCTGGACCCTCCCACATCAATCATTAACCAAGAAAACTGCCTCCACAGACTTGCCTAAGGGAGGCATTTTCTCAACTGAAGCTCCTTTTGCCCAGTGACCCTGGCTTGTGTAGGGTTGACAAACATGTCTAACCAGGACAATGACCAAGAACAAGTTATGGGAAAGTTTATTTGGGCTCCAGAGAGAAAAGAGTCTGTCATGGTAGGAAGCTATGACAGCAAGTGGCAGGCTTGGAAGCAGGAACAGGAAGCTGAGAACTCCAGTCTTTAACCACCACAAGCCTGAAGCTGACAGAGCAAACTAGAAACAGGCAAGGCTTTTTACTGTCAAAGCCTATCTCCAGTGACATATTTCCTCCAACAAGGCCACAGCTCCTAAGCCTTCTCAATCAGAGATGCTGACTTGGGACCAAGTGTTCAAATGCCCAAGACTAAGGGAGACCCTTCTCAGTCAAATCACCATATATATATATATATATATGGTGAGTAGAAGGCTAGTCCAGAATACATACAGAAGAGCCTATCTAAAAGAAAAAGGCCTTAAATATAACAATGACATTTTTGCATGCATGTGGATGTACTTACTCCTTTAATCCTAGCCCTTGGTAGGCTAAGGCAGTATGATCATGAGTTCAAGACCAGCCTGGGCTACAGAGGAAGATCAGAGCTCAAAAACTGCTGCAGAGTATTTGTTTACACTGTAAAGAGATGTCTCTGCCTAAGATGCCTTCTGATTCATTTAATAAAGAGCTAAGTGGCCAATAGCCAGGCAGGAAATAGGCTGGACTTCCGGGCAGAGATAGAGAAAACTGGGAGGAGGAATCTAGCAGCACCATTTCCCTAACAGACTCGGAGCAAGCTGAGTGTGCCATACTAAGAAGAGGTAACCGAGCCATGTGACAGAATGTAGATTAAAAAAGATATGGGTTATTAAGTTATAAGTGCTAGTTGGGAAAAAGCCTATTTTTATTTGCGAGCTGGTGGTCCAAAGATAATTCAACAAGAAAGCTTGCTATAAAACAAGTAAAATGCAAACATACATTTGCTGGAGGACTCAGTTAAAGCAGCTTCCTAGCTGAGGGAGCTGGGTACTGAGAAGGTGGAACTTCAACTCTGCACCATTCTCCTGCTTTCATTTGACATCTATCATTGTTTAAATCAACAGCTGCAGGGGGTGTCCAGCAACACGGTCAAAGTCGGACTTGGCTTTTATTCTCATTCTAAGATCTGAGCATAGCCTTCAAAGGCAGCCTGCATTGAAGGTAATGGTATAGCCCCTGCTGGTGACCCAGCCGGCTGGTGCTGTGGTCCATGAATCACTCCCATGGGAAGTTGCATTCATTTCTATAGAAACAATCCTCATCTCATGGTGTCCCAGGAGGACTTCAATTATTTGCTTATTTCTTTTCTTTATTTGAAATGTATTATTATTTTGTTAGTATTGTGTGTGTACATGGATATGTGTGTGTGTGTGTGTGTGTGTGTGTGTGTGTGTGTGTGTGTGTGTGTGTATGAGTGCCTGCATGGTATGTACATCCCATGGAGCATGTGTAGAGATCGGAGGACAACTTCATGAAGTCAGTTAGCTCTTTCCACTTTAACATGCATTCTGGGGGTCAGACTCAGGTAAGCAGGCTTGTGTGACTAGTCCTTTTACCTGCTTGACCATCTCACCAGCCCCTTCTTATTTCTTTTAATTAAACAAGCAAGAGACTGTTAGCTTCAGGCTTTCTTCATATTTTTAGTCCTTACCTAATGAGTGATAGGTTACCTTAGTATATAAATAAACCACAGCCTAATTGGGGACTATCATGTGGCCGAGTTTCAGCCAATCATTGCAGCCAGGTTTAAGCAATCACAAGTACACAACTTACGGCATCATACCAAAATGCTCCATAACATCATGGCCCGCAAAGTCAGCACCTAGTTGTAGCCAATCATTTGGGTTCTCTACTTCACATCTGCCTTCATCCTATAAAAATCCACTGCTCACAGTGCCAGGGAAAACTATCTGAGCCTGTTTTGGTTCTGGATGCTGCTAAATTCATGAGTTACCATATGGTCAAAGAAACCCTGTTAAATCCAATTTGTCTACACTTTTTCTAACATTTATATTGCACCAGCTAGCAGTATGCAAGACCTTCACCTTATTCACCTACAGGTCTATGGTCACTAAGGCCCATGATAAGGAGACCTAGGTTCCCCTAAACCACCTAAGAAAATAACATCCCATCTTGACACATCATGATCTTGGGTTAGTTTAAGTAAAATGGTAAGTTATGTTTTGAGTCTTCTGGATGCAAAATTTATACAGTTGACCAACATAGCCCAAGGAAAAAGAAAAAGACACAGGCTGAAGCAATCTCTTAAAAATGGGAGGGAATTTTCCTGCGGACACTAATCCCTGGGATAGGGGGCAGTGATAAGGACACCCCTGTCTAGCCATGTATTAATTACTTTGGCACAGCTGTGACAAAAATATCTAAGAGTTGGAAGTGGGGGAAGATTTATTTCACCTTGCGGTTTCAGGACTCCATTTACAGTCACTTGGCCTCACGCTGTTGAGCAGGAAGGAGTGTGTGGCAAAGGAACCAAAAGCAGGAGCTTTAGACAAGACAACGCCCTAAGGACCCATCCCCAGGACCTCATTTCTCCAAGTAGGCTTCATCTCATACAGTTTCTACAACCTCCTTTCCCAGATAGTGCCACCAGTTAGGGATCAAATCTTTAAAACATTAACCTGTTGGGGACATTTTATATTCAAACTGTAAGAGACCATAAACAATGATTGTACAAAACAGTAATGAAAACTTCCTCATTTCTTATTTTCCTGGGAAGACACTTTATTGTAGTAGCACCCATGGTCTCCTGCCTGACCCAGACTTTTCTCCATTAGAGAGTCTAAAAGCTTGGAGATTGTAGTAATTAACTCCTTCCTTCCTCCCTTCCTCCTTCCTTTTCTTTCCCCCCCCATCTTTTACTTTTGCCATAGTCTCATGTAGCTCAGGCTAGCCTGGAACTTACTGTGCAGCTGAGGATGACCTTGAACTCTTTGTCCTCCTGCATTCCACTTCTCAAGTGCTGGGATCACAGGCATGTACCACCATTGCTTTAGCCTACATTTCTTGATTGGGTGAAACTAATCTCAGAAAATGACAAGCAGAATCAGTTTATGGTGGCACACATACCTGTAATCCCGGCAGTGAGAGGTGGGGGCAAGGCGGATCAGCAGACTGAGGCAACCTAGGCTATAAAACAAGTTCAAATCCAGCTTGAGATAAAAGAGACCTGTCTCAAAAACAAACAAGCAAATCAAATCAAACAAATACAGAAATTTAGAAGACTCTAAGCATTAGAAAGCATATCCTTTTCTTTGTCCCAATTCAAAGGAAACAGAAGTCCTTGGTAACCTGTGCATCCTATAGATTCAAGTGTTCTGCAGATGAACAATGCAACATTTGGAAACAGGTGGTAGAAGAGACCCCATTTCCCTCCCAAACCTACCTACGCCATGCTGCCCAAATAGCTCAAACTATTTTGACTGTCACCAATCTACTTCATCTTATTTTCTAGCCCTTCAAGCCT